TACCTATAGTGTCTGATCTATTTTATATAAACCCCTCCTAGTCACTGTATCTGGTGTCTGATCTATTTTATATAAACCCTTCCTAGACACTGTACTGGTGTCTGATCTATTTTATATAAACCCCTCCTAGACACTGTATCTGGTGTCTGATCTATTTTATATAAACCCTTCCTAGACACTGTATCTGGTGCCTGATCTATTTTATATAAACTCCTCCTAGACACTGTACTGGTGTCTGATCTATTTTATATAAACCCCTCCTAGACACTGTATCTGGTGTCTGATCTATTTTATATAAACCCCTCCTAGACACTGTATCTGGTGTATGATCTATTTTATATAAACCCTTCCTAGACACTGTATCTGGTGCCTGATCTATTTTATATAAACTCCTCCTAGACACTGTACTGGTGTCTGATCTATTTTATATAAACCCCTCCTAGACACTGTATCTGGTGCCTGATCTATTTTATATAAACCCCTCCTAAACACTGTATCTGGTGTATGATCTATTTTATATAAACCCTTCCTAGACACTGAATCTGGTGCCTGATCTATTTTATATAAACCCCTCCTAGACACTGTACCTATAGTGTCTGATTTATTTTATATAAACTCCTCCTAGACACTGTATCTGGTGTCTGATCTATTTTACATAAACCCTTCCTAGACAATGTACTGGTGTCTGATCTATTTTATATAAACCCCTCCTAGACACTGTATCTGATGCCTGATCTATTTTATATAAACCCCTCCTAGACACTGTATCTGGTGCCTGATCTATTTTATATAAACGCTTCATAGACACTGTATCAGGTGTCTGATCTATTTTATATAATCTCCTCCTAGACACTGTATCTGGTGTCTGATCTATTTTATATGAACCCCTCCTAGATACTGTTTCTGGTGCCTGATCTATTTTATATAAACTCCTCCTAGACACTGTATCAGGTTTCTGATCTATTTCATATAAACCCCTCTTAGACACTGTATCTGGTGACTGATCTATTTCATATAAACCTCTCCTAAACACTGTATCTGGTGTCTGATCTATTTTATATAAACCCCTCCTAGACACTGTATCTGGTGTCTGATCTATTTTATATAAATGCTTCCTAGACACTGTATCAGGTGTCTGATCTATTTAATATAAACTCCTCTTAGACACTGCATCTGGTGTCTGATCTATTTTATATAAACCCCTCCTAGACATTGTATCTGGTGCCTGATCTATTTTATATAAACTCCTCTTAGACACTGCATCTGGTGTCTGATCTATTTTATATAAACCCCTCCTAGACGTTGTATCTGGTGCCTGATCTATTTTATATAAACCCCTCCTAGACACTGTATCTGGTGTCTGATCTATTTTATATAAACCCCTCCTAGACACTGTATCTGGTGCCTGATCTATTTTATATAAACCCCTCCTAGACATTGTATCTGGTGCCTGATCTATTTTATATAAACCCTTCCTAGACACTGTATCTGGTGTCTGATCTATTTTATATAAACTCCTCCTAGACATTGTATCTGGTGCCTGATCTATTTTATATAAACCCTTCCTAGATATTGTATCTGGTGTCTGATCTATTTTATATAAACCCTTCCTAGACACTGTATCAGGTGTCTGATCTATTTTATATAAACTCCTAGACACTGTATCTGGTGCCTGAACTATCTTATGTAAACCCCTCCTAGACACTGTACCTAGTGTCTGATCTATTTTATATAAATCCCTCCTAGACACTGTATCTAGTGTCTGATCTATTTTATATCCGTTAATATATCTATTTTACATATTTTATATAAACCCTATATAAGAAACCCTCCTAGACACTGTATCTGGAGTCTGATCTATTTTATATAAACCCCTGCTAGACACTGTATCTGGTGTCTGATCTATTTTATATAAACCCCTCCTAGACACTGTATCTGGAGTCTGATCTATTTTATATAAACCCCTCCTAGACACTGTATCAGGTGTCTGATCTATTTTATATAAATCCCTCCTAGACACTGTATCTAGTGTCTGATCTATTTTATATCCGTTAATATATCTATTTTATATATTTTATATAAACCCCTCCTAGACACTGTACCTAGTGTCTGATCTATTTTATATAAACCCCTCCTAGACACTGTACTGGTATCTGATCTATTTTATATAAACCCCTCCTAGATACTGTACCTAGTGTCTGATCTATTTTATATAAACCCCTCCTAGACACTGTACTGGTATCTGATCTATTTTATATAAACCCCTCCTAGACACTGTACCTAGTGTCTGATCTATTTTATGTAAACTCCTCTTAGACACTGCATCTGGTGTCTAATCTATTTTATATAAACCCCTCCTAGACACTGCATCTGGTGTCTGATGATCTCTGATCTATTTTATATAAACTCCTCCTAGACACTGTACCTAGTGTCTGATCTATTTTATGTAAACTCCTCTTAGACACTGTACCTGGTGCCTGATCTATTTTATATAAACCCCTCCTAGACATTGTATCTGGTGCCTGATCTATCTTATATAAACCCCTCCCAGACACTGTATCCGGTGTCTGATCTATTTTCTATAAGCCCCTCCTAGACACTGCATCTGGTGTCTGATGATCTTTGATCTATTTTATATAAACTCCTCCTAGACACTGTACTGGTATCTGATCTATTTTATATAAACCCCTCCTAGACACTGTACCTAGTGTCTGATCTATTTTATGTAAACTCCTCTTAGACACTGCATCTGGTGTCTAATCTATTTTATATAAACCCCTCCTAGACACTGCATCTGGTGTCTGATGATCTCTGATCTATTTTATATAAACTCCTCCTAGACACTGTACTGGTATCTGATCTATTTTATATAAACTCCTCCTAGACACTGTACCTGGTGCCTGATCTATTTTATATAAACCCCTCCTAGACACTGTACCTGGTGTCTGATCTATTTTATATAAACCCCTCCTACACACTGTATCTGGTGCCTGATCTATCTTATATAAACCCCTCCTAGACACTGTACTGGTGTCTGATCTATTTTATATAAACCCCTCCTAGACACTGTACCTATAGTGTCTGATCTATTTTATATAAACCCCTCCTAGACACTGTATCTGGTGTCTGATCTATTTTATATAAACCCCTCCTAGACACTGTACCTAGTGTCTGATCTATTTTATATAAACCCCTGCTATACACTGTATCTGGTGCCTGATCTATTTTATATAAACCCCTCCTAGACACTGTATCTGGTGTCTGATCTATTTGATATAAACCCGTCCTAGATACTGTATCTGGAGTCTGATCTATTTCATATAAACCCCTCCTAGACATTGCATCTGGTGCCTGATCTATTTTATATAAACCCCTCCTAGACAATGTTTCTGATCTATTTTATATAAACCCCTCCTAGATACTGTACTGGTGCCTGAACTATCTTATATAAACGCCTCCTAGACACTGTACCTAGTGTCTGATCTACTTTATATAAACCCCTCCTAGACAATGTATGTGGTGCCTGATCTATTTTATATAAGATAATTACATTAAGGCCGTTTAACCCCTTCTAGACACTGTACCTGGTGCCCGGTCTCTCATATCCTTCATGCACTGTTTGTAGTTTTTAGCAATTTCCTTGAAAAGTTCATCTTTTTTACTGGACTCTTTACATTTGGTGAGGGCTGCAGGAAATATAAATCCATCAATCTGACATTAGAAATATATTTCTGTTATATTTCTATCTCTTTACTGTAAATGTATGATTTTAACTTAAAATGAACTTCGTACTGTATTTCTCTGGTTGATCATAAATTAAAAAAATGATATCAATACTGTAAATCACTTTTTATTCGCGAGAACTTTATTTTCGCGTAATTACGCGAGAAGGTTTGCTCGCGAAAATTTCATTCTCGCGTAAAATAGAATTCCTTAAGATTATATAGAACAATGACCATAATTCGTGAAAATTTTGTCTCGCTGATAAACAGTCAATGACTATCTCGCAAAAATAAGGTGTCGCGAAAATTAAGTGATTTACAGTAGAAAGAAGCAGACCAAATATGTAACTCTCAACCAACATTTTTTGTTAAAATTGGAAAACATGCATTTTAATGAAAAAAAAGTAAATAAATAAAGAAAGTAAAAATCAACTTTTGATTCTAAAAATAAAGCTTATTAATAAAATCTTACCCTCAGATGTCGCTAAATGCATGACAGTGTCATCACTAACTATCCACTTTGGTGCTAAAAAAATTTACAATGCAAATGATTTACAAAAATGTTTAAGCAAATTAAGGATCAATTAAAATATCATCTTCGCTAGCCAAGGGTTTTCAATCCAAAATCTTCTCTACAAAAGAAAATTTCGGATCGGAAACCCATGGCTATAGCGTCGGAAGATGTTAAAATATGTACGTGACAAAAGTTACTCGAAGCCCTGATTTAAAAAGAAAAGAAATTCTGCAAAATTGTTGATTAGGCCTATGCTGTGTGCATTTTTTTTAATTCTTATAGCAACTGCTATCAGTAACTACAAAAATGTTATTAATCTTACGTTTCACTATTATAGAATTTAATCCTCCTAATGCCTTTAACTCTTTTATAATTTCTTTTCCGTGGTGACAAAACTCCCAGGAGCCATTCTTATACCCCAAGGCATCTCCAGCTGCACTCAGGACCATAGCGGCCTCATAGCGCTGGCGCATGGAAACCATGGCTGGTTTGGATCTTTTCTTTGAATTTAAGTTCCCCGTTTTAGACAGTGCACAAGAAACAGTCCTGTGAAATCAATAGATAAAAAAAGAGTAGATTCAAATAATGGCCTTATTAAAATTAGCTAATTAATGAACATAAAATACAAACCGAAAATATTTAAAATCCTTTATCAACACTGTTGACGACAGTTAGAAATAGTCATGACACATAAAGTAACTTTCATTTTAACTCAAAAGCGAAAGCGAAAGTACCAGATACGAAATAATTGGAAACACCAAGATTCTGTTACACCGGAACAACATGAGCAAAAAACGAAAAGGCAAATATTTTCTGTATTTTTTATTACATATGTTTAGTTTTAGCACCTGTAAATGCGGATGGACAGAAGATGGGGGATATATTGGACTCTATCCTGGTGGATGCACCGTAAAAAGGTATTGTTCACCTCAAACACTGCATAAACTGAAACTTACTCACATTAGGGACAGATAGAGGTCTTGTGCAATCACTAGATTTAGCTACGTAGCTTGAATTACCAACTAAGCTTTATTCAACCACCTGAAGTAGCTTTATTTAGCTATCAAATCAAACATTTCTTGAATTATCACTTTTCTCCGGATTTGCAGAAAATCATACTTTGCTGTAGGCCTTGCTGCAGAACTGTATTGACAGACTGGAGAGCAACAGTGCCACCCATTGATATGGCATGCCAAATTCACAAAAATGAGCTAAACCTAGTTTCACAATTGATAAACTAGGTTTATTGACTGTAAACTAAAGTTTACAAACCATAATCTATAGTTAACGATTCGTTAAGTATAGTTTTCATTTGTAAAACTATATTTAACGGTTGTTAACTATAGTTTACGAATGCTAATCTAAGTTTATCTGTCTGTAATAAAACGTTAACAATAGATTTTGTTGATAAACATAGATTCACGTCTGTAAACTATAATTTACGATCGTTAACTATAGCTAAGAGTTGTAAACCATAGTTTACAAATCGTGAAACTGTATTTATCAGATAATCTATGTTTTGCGATCGCGAATGATTGTTTTTGGTGTTAAGTATAATTTATGGTTGTGAAACATAGATTATCGCATTAACTATGGTTTACAAATGTAAAATATAGATTAACGTTGTTAACTATAGTTTACAGTCCGTAAACTATAGTTTACAACCTTGTTTATCGACTGTGAAACTATGATTAGCTCATTTTTGTGAATTTGGCGTGCTAAACCTAGTTTCACAATTGATAAACTAGGTTTATCGACTGTAAACTATAGTTTACAAATCGTGAAGTATAGTTTACAATTCGTTAAGTATAGTTTTCATCTGTAAAACTATATTTAACGGTTGTTAACTATAGCTTACGAATGCTAATCTAAGTTTATCTGTCTGTAATAAAACGTTAACAATAGATTTTGTTGATAAACATAGATTCACGTCTGTAAACTATAATTTACGATCGTTAACTATAGTTAAGAGTAGTAAACCATAGTTTACAATCGTGAAACTTTATTTATCAGATAATCTATGTTTTGCAATCGCAAATGATTGTTTTTGGTGTTAAATATAGTTAACGGTAGGGCTGTGTATTGAACCAAAAATTTCGATACGATACGATACAATATTTTTTAAAACGATATGCGATATATTGGATTCTAAAATAAGTCTATCAGAAAAGGCTTATGAATCATTTTAATGCATAAATTTCAGTACAATTGAGTGTTTTATTACCCATTTTAAAGTTCTTGTCTCATTTTCTTTATCAATAACACCTCAAATTAAAACTTTTAATGACAGTATCAACATGTTCAAATAAAACTATTCTCTTTGTATTTTGTAATAATTGTAAAAACTGTGTTATTTCCTTATAAATTATAAAATTATTGAACAGTTTCAATTCAAAAAAGTGAAATATAATCTTTGGTGATTGAAATTCCCATCTTTTTAACAGAATTAGAGGAAAAACTGTCTGTCCGATACATATTGGAAGTTGTTTTTCGATACGATATTTTTCTTGAATATCAATACGTATCGATATATCGATATATTGATACAGCCCTAGTCAACAGTTGTGAAACATAGATGATCGCGTTAACTACAGTTTACAGATGTAAAATATAGATTAACATTATTAACTATAGTTTACAGTCCGTAAACTATAGTTTACAACCGATAAACCTAGTTTATCGACTGTGAAACTATGTTTTGCTCATTTTTGTGAATTTGGCATGCCATACATTGAAAAATGAAAAAAAACCTTGTCAGATACTCCTTTTTAGTATTGCTTCAGTATTTACAAAAGTGTAATGGATCAGTGACACTGTAACCAATCTTGACATAAAATGATTTTATTTGTTAATTATAATTATCACCCTTCTCGGTTCTTGCTCTCTTGTTAATCCATCAATTCATTTCTGCTTCTCATTAACACTGAAAAAACTTCTCCATGTATATTTCCATTCAGCCACAGTCAAAATGTAAGATGTAAGAGAAAGCTAATGGTATTTAAATTGAGGGTAGCTGCAGAACTGTAACGTTATGGTTTTATATATTAGTCTTTGACCATAATGCTACAGGTGCCATAATCATGATAATGCAAAAAAAGGTGCAGGAATTTTTGCACGCTGTTTGGGAGAATTTCTCCACTTTCAAACATTGGTAAATTATCCACCTAATTCGCTCCATAATTCTAGACACAGTTTTTAAAAAATCTGTATATTTTATACACTCTCCAACCCTTTTTAAGCATCTCTACAAGCGATACACTCGTTTGAATTAGAATTTTCTGCAATCTCTTAGACAATTCAATCAAGCCAGTTTATTGCCTGTAGAGGCAATTATAAAGGGGTGAGAGGAGGATAAAATATACAAATTGGTATAAAATTGTGTCTGGAATTAGGGGGTGAAAGGTAGATGATTTACCAAAGTTGAAAAATGGAGAAATTCCCCCAAACAGTACGCAAAAAATCTTGCCTCGTAAATTGCACAGTTTTTGCATAACAAGATCTGTACCATTATGATCATTCAAAAACTAATATGTAAAATCATAATGCTGCAGTTCTGCAGCTACATTGAAGGTTAAGCTTCACTTTCCCTTCTAGCTTCTTTTCTCTTCTTTGATATACCAAGCCTTGCCAAAACTACATTTGTAGATGCATGTCAGAGCAAGAACATGAAAACCCACTACAGCCTACATATAGATGGTACATGTATTAGCTTGTGCCCTCCTCTGTCTCCTTAGTTCTCTTTGATAGAAATTCTACTGTAAGGGTTTAGAGAGATAATCAATGATTATTCTTATATCATTTTATATATTTTTTTCAGTTTAATTTTTGATCAATATATGTCATACATTACAATCAATATATGTTTCATTTGTTTTAGTGACTGCCCAATGGAAGAAAGGTGCATGCATTCAGTAGAAGAAACAATTTGTCCTAGTGATCATCAAAATCTATGCAGGTGTACTTTAGGTGTGTACAAGTAATGTCATATGTATAGCTTAAGATTTAAGGTGCATTGACCCTCTGGTAAGAGAGGCAACTCTCACTGGGATAAATGACACACAGTCAGACATTATTATATTGTTCATATTTGAATTATAATTTAGATGCTTTTTTTTAAAAATCATAAGAATCATTAGAAGAAAATTTTACACAACTTCAAGTGAACAGAGGGAGGGGTGGTTTGTACCTTAAGTTAGAACTTCATCAAGGATTTCTTTTATCTTGGCTCTCACACCAGAAAAAAAATTATTTTGGATGAGGAAAATGTATATCTCTTCAACAGTATTGAAGGTTTATAAAAATAATACTCAATTGAAGAAAAAATCTTAAACATCACTATGTTTAGTTTATTTTATCCTGGAAAGAGCACAGTCTGAATGACAGAGGAGAAAAATCTGTCCATGCTCAATAAATGTAAAAATCATCTAAACAAACAAAACAAATACATAGATATATGTAAACGTCAGCACACTAAGATAACAGAAGATTTAGAATAGTGTTTATGAAAATGTCTCATTCATTGTTTTATCATTGAAAAAAAATGGACCTTTAATTACACCTGTAGTACTTTTTTCTTGATTAGGTTGTGAGATTGATAATCTGATTGTTCGTTATGAGCAGTGGAGACCCATTCCAGGAAAGGGATTCTGCAAGTGTATCAATTCTTTTACAAATGAAGTAAGTATACATCAATTTTAGTATATGAAATTAGTGGGTAAAAAAAAATAATTTTTGTGTTCCCCATCCCCATGGGGCATGAGGGATGGGGCCAAAATGATTTTTAAAGTCTTCTTTAACTCTTGGATATCAAGCTGTTGGGATGCTTACAATAAACATTTAGCCAATCATCAAAAGGCATGAATTCCAGAGTTAGTGGAGTGAGGAGTCATATAGGGAAAATACATACATACATTTTTTTCAAACACCTCACCTTCATGGTAGCTCAGTCATTAGAGCACTAGCTCTGTGTTTGGGAGTCCTCTGTTCAAATGTCATTATTTTATATTTCTATAAACAGTATATGTGCACACTGTTTTTTACACATTGGTAAATACAAGGAATCACTGTCTAGATTGTTGGGTATGCCAGAACATCAAATTACTGTTGGAAATGCTGGATAATTTGCACAAAATACATAATTTGTGTAATTTATGTAAAAATTTTCCGACATTTTCAACTGTTTTTAGCTCACCTGAGCTTTTCTGATCAAAATTTGTCTGTCGTAGTTGTTGTTGTTGTCGTCTTCATAAACTTTTCACATTTTCATCTTCTTCTCAAGAACCGCTGGGCCAATTTCAAACAAACTTGCCACAAAGTATCCTTGGGTGAAGGGGATTCAATTTTGTTCAAATGAAGGGCCATGCCCTCTTCCAATGGGAGATAATTATGAGTTACTGATAAATTAACGGTATCTTTTAAAAATCTTCTTCTCAAGAACCAGTGGGCCAGGAAAGTGAAACTTATGTGGAAGCAGTCTCATGTAGTGTAGATTCAATTTTGTTCAAATCATGACCCCCAGGGGTAGGGTGGGTCCACAATGGGTTATCAAAGCTTAACATAGGAATACATAGGAAAAAAACTTTAAAGATCTTCTTTTCAAGAACCAGTGGGCCAGGAAAGATGAAAATCTTGTAGAAGCATCCTGTGGTAGTGAAGTTTCCAGTTTGTTCAAATCATGACCCCCGGGGTAGGGTGGGGCCACAATGGGGTATCAAAGTTCAACATATTGATAGGAATACATAGGAAAAATCTTTAATAATCTTCTTCTCAAAGACCACAGATCAAAGTCATAGGAATACATAGGAAAAGTCTTTAAAAATCTTCCTTTCAAGAACAGGAAAGCCATGGATGGTCAAAGTTATATGGAAGCATCCTCTGGTAGTGAAGATTCAAGTTTGTTTAAATCATATCCCCTGGGGCAAGGATGGGGCCGTTATGTGATCAAAGTGGGATAACATAGATAAAAAATCTTTAAATTTCTTCTTCTTAGAAGAGGCAAAGTTGTGATTAGTCATAGTTAATATATGGAAGCATCCTCTGGTAGTGTAGATTTAAGTTTGTTCAAATCATGACCCCTGGAATAGAGTGGGACTTAAATGGGGTCTCAGAGTTTTGCATAAGAATACATGGGGGAAATCATTAAAATTTGTGACAAAGCCATGAATGATCATCAATTTAAATGCATCATTAAAATGGATCATAACAATGAACAACAAAACCATTTTGTGTCATATTAAATCAAAAGCATCCTTAGGAAGTGTACATTTAATTTTGTTCGAACCCTCTTCTCCTGAACCCAATTTTATATTTTAACTTTTCAATACTGAACTGATTTTTGCTTTTATCTGGCTAGTTGCTCAGGTGAGCGATGTGGCCCTTGGGTCTCTTGTTTATGTCTCTGACATATCCAACAATCTAGACAGTGTTTTCTTAAATATATTTCAGTGATTATGAAACATTTCTGCTGTGTTAATTTGTAAACATACAAGAATATGCATCTAGACTTCATTAATATATTTTTTCAGTCAAACTGTGTGGAACATTTAGACTTATGATGTTACAGATGAAATAAAGAGCTGATGAACATTTTTATATCAATTTTAAACTTGAAAGTTCCTCAGGAAAGCTGGTGTTAAGCAGTTTATCTTCTTCTAATTTCACAGGTGTGCTCTAATGAGACAATACTAACTCATCCTCGATAATCCAATTTTTCTCTAAATTTTACATTTTTCAAATTAATACTAAGATTTTAAAAAAATATTACGGTTACAATGAAACAGGTATGCTAGCATTATTTTCTGCTTTGTACATCTTTTTCCACTTAGCTGAATAGAAAGGAAAATGAGTAAATAAATAAAAATGCTACAGTTAATGTATCTGTGTCTTTGTTCTAATATTTGATAAATTAACTTGATGCAGATATAAAAATCAATGCGGGTTATTTGTGTTTTGGGATAGGAATTTTTTAAAGTTATTTATATTTTTAATATTGCATTGTTGTTTTTTTTATTATCATTTTCTCTTGTTACTTTTTTGAATTGTATGAATTGTAAATATATTATACACATAGATGCATAAAAGTTTTTTATGGTTGCAAGAAATAAGTGCAATTAATATGATATTATATGGTGATTTATTTTGTATTATGTACATGTAATTGTATTGATTCTCTCTTTTGTACTGTTAAACTTTCACTTTAAATATTTAATAAAATTTAGTGTGTAACATACATATGACTTCTATTTTGATTGAATGCTAGGTAGACTGTGTCTTAATGTATAAGTTATTTAATTGTTACAGAAATTTCAGATGCAGAATTGTTTATAAACATTTTATTAATATTTTGTTAAATTAAAAAATATTTCCAAGGGCGATAATGGATATCTAAGTAAATTATTTTACTGAAAATCACTTAAATTAATTTTTGGAAAGAATTTTGATATACTTTAAGTAATTAATTTACTTACAATAAGGAATTTTAAGTAATTCATAAATTACTTAGTAATTTTTAGTAATACTCAATCATAGTCAGTAATTAACAATCATATTAAGTAATCATATTACTTAAAATAAGTAAAAAGAATTACTAAGTAATTTTATTTTTTGAGTGTGTATACTTAGTATAGACATTGAACATATCTTCGTAGGTTAAGCCCCCCCCCCCCCCCCCACTTTTCCACAGATACGTCTTGGTATAGGTTAAAAATGGGGAAAATGGTGGTGTTTGGAAAAAAAATTTTGGTACTGAAGTTTGAACCTACACCCCCCCCCCCCCCCCCACGAAAGTGGACATTTCCCTTTTTCTTTTTTTTCTTTTTTTGCTTGTCAGGTTTTTTGAAGGTACAATTTTTTTTTACACTTAGCCCCCCACTTTCAATTTGCTTCCAACGCCAGTGTATTGTAACATAATAAATATTTCTTCCTTATATTTTTTTAAGTTAAAGTATAGAGTGGTCAGAGAGCAAGATACAGACTAAGTGAAAAGCCCCTCTGTGTAGCGGGAGGTAACTCTTATTCACTTAACCCGACAGGTGCAATGCGTATCTAATCAAGCGAGTCGACTCTGGCATATCGGTAAACAGGCACATATGATCGGCGTTCGAATGTAGTGGCGGTTTTATCAGACAGGGTCCTCATAACAAACCATGCCCAATCGGAGAGAAGAACACGGGATTCAAAAGCAGCAACCAGTGACATCGCGGTGCCTGGCCATTGTCTTGAAATTTGAAAATGAAGACAGGTGCGAGAACGATGTGAAGGAGGAAAGTTTTAGTGGAAAAGATATTTTAGACGATTTTAAGTTGAGAAATAAATCTTGTTATTGGAATCCAGCGTTGTTGGAAAGTATAAACAGTTTGGAATATTTGGGATTCGTGTCGCCGTGTACATTACTTGTGGGAGGGTCGGAACTTCACCTTGAGAATATCAGGACGGCGTGGGGAAGGCGAGTGTTGAATGACCCCTCGGATTTTAGTATTCAAAGCATAGGTGAGTAAGGTATTAGAGCAGACGGCAAGGTATTTATTGGATGAATTGGACAGATGGGTGAAAGAATTGAATTTTTTATAAGCTGGCAAGTTTTTAATTGATTTTTAATTGACTTGTTAGATATTGAAAAATTTGGGACAGATGTTGCGTCAAAATTTTATTGGTCTTTTTCAAAGATTGTTTATTTTAAAGTCTAATCGTCATGCAAGAATTCAAATCGCTACATGACGAGAAAGTTGTACGATTTCCCTAATGCATGGTAAGAATACTTTAGAATTTTGCATTAGACTGGACATTATAATTACATGGATTACATGAATATAGCTTCCAGCAATTTTAACGGAATGATTTATTACGGTACGTAAGAAGAAAGACTCCGAAATCGTAATTAACACCTGAGCTGTCAGTTTTATGATTTTTTCAGGTAATCGGGTAAAGTTTCGAGTTTACGGGGATTAAATGTTTAGAGACAATTGAGAAAAGAGATTAAATAGATTATGAAGATAAGATTGTGTCATGATAGTTGTATCGTAGAAGGTCGGGATTTTGTGGGATATCCTTTGTGTAGACTTTTTGCTTGTCTTGATTTTCTTAACTGATAAAGATGTTTGAAAGTAAAGGGATTAAGATAGAATCGAGTTATATGATATTACACAGAGAGTGTCTCTAATAAGGTAGTAAAACCTGTCAAACACTCTAATTCTAAAATTATTTTAATAAAAAGTAGGGATTTATAGTAATAAGGTTTTGAAGTATACATATGAACCCTGGATTTAATTAAAACAGACATATTATCATAATAATTACACAATTTAATTAGACTTTTGCAGAAAGGGGGTATTAAAATTGGTTCCTTTATAATGATAAAAGCAAAGAAAATCATTAAAAGGTAGGGGGGGAAATGCATTTTATTTAAATTGACATGGTGCAGTGATAAACCCAAGTTAATGAAATTATGTATTAAAAAATATTTCATGCTAGATAATTGTTCAAATTGAGTTTTTATGTATAAAATTCATTATGTTAAATACTTAATTAAGATGTTTAAGATTATCAGAAAAGAAGGACAACTTGAAAATTTTACCTTTTTACCATGTTCACTGTCTACATTTATTTTTATATTTAACCTTAACTTAGCAAACCAATGGTCAATTATAGCATTTGAAAGTTGATGAGACCAAGCCAAGGCTTGAGTACATAATGAGGAGACTCCAAACTTAATACAATGATTAACAAGATTAAGTAATTACAAGCCTGGAGAAAATGAGGAGACTGCTATGCTCAGAATACTTGTCTTGTTTGACATGTTTGTTTATTGTAAACAAATAGTTGTGGGATATTTTGCAGAGATTTGTCCTGATCATTAGTTTGACATAAAAACAAGTGTTACTGTGCCAGGTGCCAGAAAATTCAACACCTTGGGCCCTGAACAGTTTAACACCTCCTAGCTTTCTCTGTTTATAAAGGAATTGTCTGAAAATTACTGGTCATTTAAGAAGAAGTCAAGTAACTGTGAACAGGAATTTAAGAAACAATAGGATTAAAGGAAATGTTCTCTCAGGATGTTTGGGGTAGGTAAACAAAATAAATATTTATTTGTTTAATTTTGACAGTTTGTTTTATGTAAAATAGATTCCATCATTTCCTTTTTTTATGTGAATGTAAACTGTTCTAAAATATTTTAATTATATCCCAAATATCTTGAAGACATATCAATTAAAATTACAAATTAAAAGAAACTTTTGAAATTATTTAAAAGAAATTACTTTTATGTTGAGGATTAATCCCATAATTGCACAAGAAACCTACAGTAGTTTGACTTATTCAATGAAAGAGAAATTGATTTTCAATAACAATTAGGCCTTTAGCTTCCTATTGTGTGAGAGACAGAGTGATGGCTGTTAGTGACTGCTGATTGGGCCCCCCTGCTGACCCCTAATGAAGGGGCCCCTCGATCCCCTGCTGGGAGGGAGAAAGGGAAATAGTGGAGTGGTCAGTTTCCTGTTATATTGTGACACTTACCTATTTTATGTACATTTCTATTATTTGAGAGTTTTCTTCTGCACATGTTATAAGCTGTTATAGGAAAGAGAAAAACTTTGATTGTTTGTTCACACTTCTGTATTGTTCATCCAAATATCAACATTTGGTAAGGTAAGGAAATGGCTCCAGTGCTGGTTTTAGTCTTTGTATTATGTTTTATCCTGTTGATTTTATTGAGTGTCAAGTCACTCCTAAAAATGCTGCTTGTGCATCTTTGAAAGAATTTATTTTAAAATTATTTCTGAATTCACTTTTAAGAAGAAATCTTACATTCATGGGAGATTATAATTTTCCAATGCATATTTGTGTTAGTGAAGTGTATCTATTAGAAATCTTGTATGTGTATTCTTAAGGTATTCAATCCCTAAGAGGAACAAAATTCAATGAAATTGAATACATAATAATTTTCCAGTGCATATAAAATTTGTGTTATGACCTTGAAGTGTTATCTTTCCTTTTTTTAATTAATAAAAAAAATCAATTAAAAAAAATTAGCTGGTAAAAAAAATTATTTTTAATTGTCATTCTATTTTTAATTTTTCAATGTGTGATATTCAAATTTTTTGAATTTTTAGAAAAAAACACTTTTTAAGGTTAGCTTAATTAAGTTTAGTATTTTAGTGTAAAATGCTTTAATATAATATCAGAGTATTATTTACTTGACGGGTGGGGAATTTAGTCCCATTAGGGATGGAAATCCTTAAGTTTAAAGTTTATAGTAATTAAGTTTAGTATTTTTTACAGTACTGTTTCTCTCTTTTATGTTTGATTGGTTTTTTTTTTTCCACAATGAAATGTACCCAAAAAGTTGTCAATCATTATAAAATCATTTAGAAAGCCCAGGAGAGGAAGTTGGTATTAGGGCTGTTCTTCGAAGTGTTAATCAGTGGGAAAACAGTTTTTAAAGGACCCTTTTCTTTTCTTTCTTACCTAATGCTTACCTGTGAAGAAATATCACACTCGCCCGATACATGGTGACCCTGTTTGAACAGAAATTATTTCTGTTCAAACAGTTTGGAGAAAATTAAGTCTAATGTGTTAGCTTTTGTAAATAAGAGAAATATTGTAAAAACAGATTTATTTGAATTGAAATCGAAAATTTTGCCTTTTTCATATCTTGTACCTGAATATATTGCTTTGCACTTTTAAATTTACTAGAAAGGTGACCAATGAATGAAATATTCCTTTAACTATATAGATTTGTTTAAATTCCCAATTAGAGAGAGAAACAACAGAATTTAGATATCTGTATATTCAATATTACAAGTGTAAACTGTTTCCTGAGATGTAAGACTTCAGCCAACAGCTATAACTATATAAGATAATGGACACAAGTAACCTATTGATCAGGATCTATTGAAACCATAAATCTCCTAGATCAAAGAATAATCAGAGAATGGCCTATAAAAATAATCTTTATTCCGAGAAGGTGGAGGGGTAGAGAGGAGGAGTGATAAATATCTACCGTAGCTTTGGTTAACACCAGCAGTAGTGTATAGGGCCATCCTTAAAAAATTGTTTTTTTGCGGTAACGCGACCGACTCACCAAAATCCACCCTACTGGATTTTTTTTATGGGTTCAAAAAAAAATTCTTTTTTTTTTTTTTACATATCCATTTTCTAATTTTATCCTAATGACATTTTTTTACGTCCCCATTGCACCTGTAGACACCGTTTTTAAAAAAGAACTGATGTGTTCTGATATTTGAACAATAAAAGATTGGATTCATTAAGAATGCCTTAATTTTCTTGTTTGATTAGTAACTTAAAGTGAAATCTAAGACATAGTTAATACCTCTATATAATCGAAATTTAATTCTGACTTTTTGTCTCCAAAAAAAAAAATAAGCCTACCTACCTACCCACACCTAAAATGATGAGGCGCGTTACCGCAAAAAAAAAAAATTTTAAGGGTGGCCTAGTACATAGCTCAGGGCCAGGCATTAACTGTGACTTAACGTATTTAAAGGGGTTCAAGAGTGTCCAGCCCTAACAAAGGGTCAATTGTAGATCCGATCAGGGAGTAATTTATGAGTGGACATGATCTAGATCTTTGAGAAATGAGGATGATGGATTCAGTAGATAATGGGATTAGGGGGTGATACCACTCCAGTTAAGGGCCTGTTCTTCCTGGGTTATTCAAGGGCCCTTTGTAAAGAAAACTATATTGAGATCCTCTCTTTCTTTACAGATTTCATATTTCTGAAAATTTAATCATGTTAAGGTCACATTTCCAAAGAAAATCACTGATTTAATTGTGTAAGCTGTTGATTTAAGTTTTGCATTCTGCAAATGACCATGCATCTTGTAGGAGATTTTGCATGGATCCATTTATCAGTGGCCCTAACAAGGCCCCATTGGGACAATTTTTAACAAGTGCCTAATGAGTCAGTGGGGTGTCCTAACTGTTCATAACTCCTCCTGTTTGTACCCCCTAATTATGTCAGACTCAGATGTAGGCCATGCCAAGACTCAGAATCCAGAGGGGTGCGAAAACTGACCCTGTTACCACCGTCTGACATAACTTCTCAGTGTCCAGCTAATTAATAAGGCATTATAAAGGCCATGGGATTTAGTATTGTAACCTCAACACCTTCAGTTAGTAGAGAAACCCCCAATAAACTCTTAGTGGTGGCAAAGGCTTCTTAAAAAGGGGAAATAATTCACAGGTTGTATAGGCTTATAACAGAAATGTCAGAATAGCAGAACTGGTAAAAACAGAGGAACCAGGTATTCATTGAATAAAGTAATGATATAGATTTTACTGTACTTTTACATAATAGTTTTCTGATAATATAGACATTTAAAACAATTTATTTGATAGGAAATGGTTTTTCCATTGAGAGAACAGCTTGTATCAGATGATATATTAGGAAATTGTTGTCCAGTGAGTGTTTAAAGCTTGTAAAGCTACACTGCTTTGTGAATTCCCTAGATGACATGTCACAAAAATGACACAAAATGTATTTGTAAGGGGTTTCTTGTAAGATCCGCTGTTAAAACTTTTGATGTCATGTTTGAGTTGCCGGGATACCATTCCTTGTTGTGCCATGGGGCCCCGGAGTGAACTCCGTATCTACCTTGTATAGTTTTTATTTTGACCCTGTGGTACACAAAACACTTGTCTCACATATACCAACAATAAGTTTTCATTAAATATTTGAATTTTTAACTTTCACTTTTGTTTTCACAGTAAATTGCTTTAGAGTATCACTAAAGTAAGTTTGCTTGTTCTTCAAAAATTCTATTTTACTTATCATCCATTTTCATTTTTCATCAATATCAGAGTGGAAAATAAATATAATTTGAGAGCTCATATTGGTTTCCGATTAGCGAAAAACTTTCTAATAGGCATACACGTAAATTGACTTTTCCATGATTACGGATCTGTTAAGATAACTAAATAAACAGGAGTTTGGTAAATGTGAAATCATTTCTGTTTGCCAGCCATCAATATTCATATATCCTGACAGCTTAAAAGTGGCCATTCACCAGCAAAACGTGCATCTGCAAGTTTAAAAACAATTAAAGGTCATGACGTATTTCAGGCATTGATAGGTCTACCCACAAAGTACTTGGCAATCATTTATTGCCGAACATAAAACATTTGAAAGCATTCAGCATGTATCAGCAGTATTTGATTTGATGGCCATAAACTTTTAAATATCTGATTGTCCGACAGAATTTTTTTTTGATACCAGAATGAATTTTATCAATGTTCATTAGATTTGATAAATGTATGGTAGTTCTACAGCAAAGTATTTAGTTTTAGTTCTTGTCGAGAATATTCAGGAGTCATTGGGTGTGAAATGTGATGGCTTCGTTCTTGCTTAATTGAGTCAGAAAATCTACTAAGTTCAGAATGTATTAAAAAAACAACCAGGTCACTTTTAAGTATCAATTCCTTGTCAATTTTCACTACATATGTACTGTGTATACTTGAACATTTTTAAACATGTATATATATTTAAATACATGTACTTAATTTGCAATCATATTATTTCTGAAAAAGATGGGGAAAACATAAGCTTATTATGGTGAGATTAATTTCACAAAAAAACTTTCAGAGTATCATTTTATATAGTTGAGAAAAAGACAGAGAGACTCTGAGAAAGAGAGAAGAGATTTTAGGGAAAAAAGTTGAAGAAAATGAATAATACACGTTAACTTGTTAATTTTTAGGTGACGTTGATGGGATAAATATGGAGGTGATACCACAGACACAGTTCGTTCCCCTGTCAGAGATCCTATGTATGGTCATTTTGGAGCTCAATAATAAGCAGGTCGTGGCGACGTTAGACACGATACAGGAGAGACTGAATCAATGTTACCAAGGCATGCAGATCCCCTCGCCACCCCTCATCTACGACACACTCGGCACACTCATCAGGGAAAGGAAAATATTCCATACAGGTAGATGTCATGTTTATAAGAATTATAATGAGATATTTCTTATTATTCCAGAACATATTTCATTTTTCTTGTTTTAACATTCCTGGGCTTTTGGGTTCTTTAAAATTGTCAAATAATTACAGCTAAGCTTGTCCAAACCATCATTTAAATTTTATTTTGAGTACATATATTAACTTAAAACTTTTACCAAAAACTTGACAATGATTGATCTATTTACTTTTAAAAATTTTCAAATTTTCACATTCATCTTGCTATAGCAGGTCGAATTTGAAAGCTATTGGGAACATTATAGGTTCAGATTTCTTTAAATATTTATTACTAATACCAAGGTATTGAGGCTTTAAATGTGAGATAATTACAATGAAAAGATTCCCCAATTTATGTTTAGCTTTCCATGACATTGGATATAGATGCCTCAATACAGACAATTTGTTCCCCAAGTTTTCCCATTTGTTATATGTGCATTATGTAACCAAACACTTCAGAAATATATAATTTAAGAACTTTCTAAACAGTCAAACAACCCCTTTTAGAGAGTTGTAAAGAGGTTTAATGAAGAATTTAGGTCTTATCAGACAAAAATCTTTGTTCAAGTGCAGTGTCTAGGCCTTCATCCTTTTTGAAAACTAAACCAGCTTTGTCTGGTGGCGTGTAGGAAAACAAACAGCGAAAAATCAAAGGCAGTTTACTGGGGTAGCGGGGTGGAGTGTAACAATGATAAGGTGCTATGTGTACACAGCCCAGAAACAATGGAGAGTGAAGCAAGAACCACTGAACCCTTTAGAACTTGTCTGGTTAGTTAAATGCAAAAATGAAAGTTTTTCAGTCATTTTTGATCCATTGCCGGATTACACCCTGATGACATATTTTGTCACTAAATCTTAATCTGTGTAATGTGAGAGGAGAAAATGCTGCGGACCAGACTGGAATTCGAACCTGGGCCCCCTGAAACTCCGGTCAGGTGCTCTACCAACTGAGCTATCTGGCCACCGGCGATCGAACCGGGCTGACCGCCACATCTCAATTGTGGTCAGTCGAAATTCATATTCACAAAAATAATCTTATACTTTATATTAGTGACTTCTTCACTGGTAATGGATAGAACTACTTCTGTCGAAGACCAATTAAGGAAGAAATGTAAACTTTGTGTCCTTTGGTGTAATCTAATTGACCCACCATCTATTACTGGTCAATAGTCCTGTGGGCAGCGAAATGACCAGCACACTAATTTGTAAACTACCACAGACAAATTGAGACAATTATCACCGAACATGTTCACACTTGGTTTTATGATAGTGCTAAAATCGGTGTTACAGGACATTCCGGGGTTGCCCAGGGACGGAATTAATTAGACTTGTACATCATAACAGGGGGGATATAGAGCTTATTATGGGTGAATTAGGGAAAGTCATGATTAATGTCTCACACCTGTCATATTATCTTCAATAACTCCATTTACTTCACTTTTTCTTATCAGGGGAAATCTTTGTGGATAATTTTGACAAGACCCACTTTAAATTTCCTGTAATTTTATTCCATGTAAGAATATTTACATGTTTTTGTGTACATTGAGAAACATGTTTTTGCGTACATAGAGAGACAAATCCTGGTCCTGTATACTTTGGTATGATTTTAGGCAGCAGTTGCACCTTTAACAATGAGAAAATATCCTGCATTTCCATTTGACGCACATAACGTTTCATATTGCTTCTGAATCTGATGACATATTGTACGTCAATAAGCAATAACTTATCACCATTCTAAAGAAATTGGTCAACCTGACTCCAGAAATTGATGTTCTCATGCATATATGTACTTTAAGAAATAAAAATTGTCCACATCCAACTTGGCCATCTCACTGAGGATTTAAATTTAAAATTCGTTAGAGGCCTAGGGATCCAAACCAGACATTGTAAATAAGCTGCAGGATTTTACGACTGTGATTTGAAGTTTTATTGATGTGTTATTGTTTGGGCATCTAAGCTACAACTCCATCATGTCTATAGACTAGTGTACAGAATGCTTGTGTGCAAATTGTCGTATTTCTTAAAATTTAATTTAAAACTTTGTCAATTGCTGTCATAAAAATAGAGGACTTTTTCTCGTGTTTCTTTGAGGTAAACTTGTAAATACAGATCAGACTGGTCTGATATGAAGTGTAAAATTTCAATAACCTTATACCCTAACATAAGCTCAGGAAACTCGGATTAGGCACCAAAATTTTTAATTTACCACCCCAAGGGTTAATACTCGACCATAGCCAATGTCAAATGGGGAAAAAAATCTTATCACAAAAGTTTAAAGATCTAATTGAAAAATCATCTGTCAACTTGTAGGGTGCAAAGATTTTATGGTTATTTTCTTCTCAGGAATAACCACAAAGCTCTATTCTAGTAAAATTCTATTGATTTCACCTTGAGTAACACAAATTCATTGATCTTTAATTCACTTATTGAAAGAAGGTGAACAAATTACAGGGTGCACTACTTCTGTATTTGTACAGAATTTTTTTTTTCATCAATGCTTTGTAATTGAAACATTAAATTATTTAAGAAATTTAGTTTATCACCATTATCGTTTTAATAATCAAGATCTCAAAAGGTGATATATTTTTGCCGTTACTGGTTAATTGAATTGACAGAACACATGAAGAGATTCTAAAGAAACCTCAAGAATCAAGCCTTAAGTTTGAGTAGCTTGTAAAGTTAATCAGAGAAAAGAATTAATATCCAGAATAACTCAACATTCAGGTTTTGGCTTGTTTTGATGCCATACATTCCTTAAATAAATAAATTGTCAAAAATGTCATCATTCACTTATTAAACAAATCCAGTTTTTTGATAAACATCACCTTTAATATAGCCAAAGGATATATATGTTATCAAGTGTCAATTTAATTTTTTTAATCTTTTTTGGATCTTGCAGGAAGTGGATATTTTGTTGTGACATCAGACACGTACAGAATGCCTGAGGACCCGACTAAAACGATTCCACTGTCATGGCTTCATTACAATCCTAATTATATCCCAGTGCTCAACTCCAACGCCAAGGGTCTCACCAGAACCATCTCCTGTCAGGTGACACTGGCCAACGAACCTCGCAAGGAACAGTCCGAGAAAAACTCTGACCCGGACGATAAAATCGTGGACATGAGACAGAATCTGGAGAGGGAGACGTTAGATAGACAGAGGCAACCATTGGCTGATAAACCAAGACTGGGGCGAAGTCTCAGTGCCAGGAGACCAAGAGAAAGGGGGGCAATTAAGAATGAGGACCTCAGAGATTTCAAGAGGAGTTTGTCAGTGAGACGACAAGACGAGAAAGAAAAGAAACACACACTAGAGGAAAGGAAGTCTGCAGAGGACATTGCTGTTACTAAAAATAGCTCAAAGAAAAACAAAGATAAAGGTAAGCAATGATTTTATGAGGTTTTGTGGCATTGTATTTTACTGAAAAAATTTATTTTGTAGAAATTATCTTACAGTGTCAGTTCATACGAGATTTTAGACCTAACTCTTTGATCAATTTTCTTTATCATTAATAAAGCTTAAGAGCCAGATTATGAAAGTATTCAGGAAATGAGTATGTTTTCAAGATAAGTTAGAATTTTGAATCAGTAAAACATACTGTGTTTACTAAAATAGGTGACCATAAAGTTTATAAGGAGTAAAACTAAATATAGTTCGTCTGTACAGTAAAAATTTAGACACCTGTAAATTTTTTATGCTCTTATGCCTTAGCTGTGTATTTTAAAAAAGGAGAAAATTCAGATGGACTAATACCTTTCAAAATGGTATTAAAGTAAATGTTTTCTTAGGGATAAGAAACCTAATCTTTTTGTTCTTCAAAAATCATCATTTCCTTTGAGTTTGATAACATCAAAGTATAATTTAAGTCTTTGGACTTAAGTTTGAATTATCAATTTAAAAGTCTCTAAGTTTTGTGAGTATTATGTAAAAAGCTAATAGGATTTGTACAAATGTTCCGTCTGATTCTGTCCTTACTGTTAAATCCATGTATTGTGTCTGCAGAGAATTTCACTATTAACTCAACTGGTTCATGTTATTATTGAAATTATTTTCATTGAGTAGCTCAATAATCCTACTTAAGTCACTGACAATAATTTCTTATTAATTGTCTATCTGTTATAAAGAACTCAAATAAAGAGAAATAGCTAGTGAACTTAATTATAATGTTAAATTTGAAATTGGAAACTAACCTGTAAAATTTTCACGACTAATAATTTTTTCTTTTTGTACGTTTTAGGAGAGAAGAAGTCTTTGTTAGCTAAGCTTTTCGGGAGAAAGAAGAAGAAGAATGAAACTCCAAAAGAAGAACCCAAGAAAGTGGAGCATGCCACGTTTTCTGACCAGTTTCCCCCTCCAGAGTGGGGATGGTACCAGGACCAAGTGGAGAAGCAGCAGAGAATACACAAGTGGATGCAGCAAGTCCCCCACCATCCACATGCCCACCACCAGCATTACGACCGCGTCCATCCGATCCAACAAAGTCATCCACATCACTCTGATTATCAGTCCATGAGGTTTGGACATGGACCAGTCAGAAACGATGCTATTTATGGAAGACACATCCCACAGCATGAGAATCACTACCACGTGCCTCCAAGGATGAGATTGAGAAACAACCCTCCACCTCCCCTGGATGATGATTACGAGGAAATCCTGGATGTGGATGCTAACAGCAGATTCAGGTCCACCTTACCAGCACACCATCATCATCATCATCCACAGGAAGTGGATCATCACAGGAGGATGTCTGAAGATCGACGTACAACGAGGAGGAAAGAGAAGTCAAAAAGAATGTCCCTGGATAGGAGAGGAGACAGAGACTATGAAAATGTTCCAATGTGTTCAAACTACCCCTCCCCAGCATTTCCATATCACACAGACAGCAGCCATAACTTTCATCACAATAACCCAGTCACTCATCCTCTCTACAGCTCAACTCCGCGAGTCCCGGGAATGTGGCAGCAAGCTCATGAATCATATTACCCACATGTCAATGCAGAGGAAGTCCATCAGCATCAATGTACTGTCCAAAAACCAAAAAAGAAATCTCATCGCAGACATGGCCAGTCAAATCACAGACAGATGGAAGATCATTACAGACTTCCAGCTAAGAACACTTCAATTTCTATCTCTCATGACAGTGGTGTGAATCTGATTGGCCTACAGACAGTGCATTATAAACATACTCAAGAGACCCATTACAGAAGAAGAGTTCAGGATGACATGTCCATTCGGAATAACCTCAGGAATGACCCTTATGGAGACTCAGATGATGATGTTCCTCATTCTAATGGTCAAGTTATGTATGAAGTGGAAATTAACAAATGTCCAGAGCCAAGGACAAGAGAAAATGAATATGTAACCATGCAAACAGACTCCAAAAAAGACATTGAGAAGAAGAGAAATAGCTGTAATTCTGACAGTGTGTTAACTTTCAGTGAGCAGAGCTGTGACACAGTCATAAAAAAGGAAGATAAAGACATAGAGGACATCACAAAGGAGACGTCCGAGGTCGTCCTGGGGGACAGTGGCTTCAGCTCACCCCGGGTCTGCGACGAAAGCTCCCCAGAAATGGAAAAACAGAAGATCAAAAGCAAAGTGAAGGAACTTGAAAAGGGAAGCCACTCTGACCTGTGTGATAAAAATGTCTACCAAAAATCTGATGACAGTTCTCCAGAAATCCATGAAAGTCGCTCCAGTGACAAGGAAAACAGATTTAACATGATAAACAATTTAAAACAAGTTCAGGGTGACTACGGTGTGCTTACTCATGTCAACCCGGTCAATGGAAGAATCCCCCTCTATCCCCAAAACACAATGATCCAACCTGTTCAGAGGAAATTCAGTTTTGAGGACGATTATGGATTCCTATAGGGAGATAACTCAAACTCGTCTAGGGAGGTGCAATACAAGTACCGGTATTTAACACTTCACAAATATCTCAATCCGCATGAACAATTGTAACGTCAAATAACTTAATTTTTTATAGTGCTATTTATGTAAATAATGTTTTTCTTAATTTTATTTGTAAAAACAGAAGTGATTTATTATCAAATCTCTTTTATCAGTTTTGCTGCATAATAAAACATAAAAATATCTTTGATCTTTTTATTTTGTGAAATTATCAGTAGAACAAATGTATTCAATTGAACAAACTGCAGTTTTAAACAGGAAAACACAAAATATGCCGTCGTTTTGGGTGATATATAGTTGTGATGTTTGATAACGACCATTTAGAAACACATTAAATTGGTTCTGTTTATCGATTGAATGGAGTTATTTAAATATGGCCTTGGTCTGATTTGTTTCCATCATAAAGTTCATTGATGTGATACTGAAGGGAGTATTTTATATCTATATAAATACAAACAAACTTTAATAGCAATCTGAATTTCAATAGGATTGGGCATACAATGAGTAATCTATAAAACAAGAAAGGAACCTGGATCTTTCAGTTGACTGAATTAGAAGCTGTGGGAACAAATACTGGACCCTAGTTTTCAACATTGCTATAACTAGACAATATTATCGATTTTAAAAAACAAATTAAAGTGAACAGCGGATCAAGGTTTTCAAGCAAATGTTATAATCTACATCTTGATCTCTTTTGAGTCAAGGAATCTACCATTCTTAATTTCAAATGAAAAGATGTAAGGCAGGCAGGTGCCCTTTCTATGTCTAACAAGATGTGTTTTTGAAACACTGATGCACCTGCATTTATGAGAGCTCATGGCAAAGTTAAAATTTCTAAAATGCAAGTCAAACTTCAAGGTCCAAAACAAAAAAAAAACAAGAGATCGATGGGCCACATGGCTCACCTGAGCACTAGGCTAGAAAAAAGCAAAAATCAGTTCAGTATTGAAAAACTTAATTAAATGCATAAATGGTCCCCACCTTTGCCTTAAAGGGAGGATATGATTAAAACAAGCTTGAATCTGAGCTACCTAAGGATGCTTCCATATTTCTTTGACTATCTGTGGCTTTTTTCCCTATATTAAACTGAACTTTCATTGTGGTCCCACCCTACCCCCGGGGTTTATGATTTGAAAAAATCTTAATGTACAGTTGAGTTTGCTTCCATGAACAAACTTGAATCTACACTACCTGAGGATGCTTGTCATATAAATATGATCAATCATAATCTGACACAGAAAAAGTATGAAAAACTCTTTCCAAAACTTTCCTCATCTGTAGATAAGATAACTTAATCAACAGCCACTCTTCAATTGTTTGGATTTGTTTAACCAGAGAGCTATATGGCTCAATAAACTTTAACTTCTTTTTATGCTCATGCATGGAAGATTCAGGGGCATATAATTTTGCCCTGACTGTCCATCAGCTGGTTTATCTGTTTGTCAAATTGGCTGTTAAAACTTTTACCTTAGCCATAATTTTTTTTAAAAGGTTGGAGCTATGTGTATTTCATGTGACAAGACCATTCTTTGGATACCATCACATTTGAACTCTTGACCTCTTTTGCAAAATTTTACCAAACCTTTTCCTTGGTATTAACTTTGAAAGGTTGTTGCTAAGAAATGGAAGGTCTATACCACTGAAATCAAGTTAAAGGAAAAAATAACTCTTTTAGACACTTGAGTGTATGATTGTATTATGTCATGATGATTCTAGACTAGCTTTCTCTGTATTTAAATCAAAAATTTAATTCCGTGTTCAAATATTTATTTTGATATTATATATATTTGGTCTCATTTCAAATTCCACTACTATAAATAAATCAACTAATTTACAAAATAATGTTAATAATCAAATGTAACAATGTACACATTTTTTTTTATAAATTCATTTCATATTTAACAATTGATGTAAAAAATATTTCTACACATCTAATGCATAGACTTAATGCACACATTAATAACTACCCAACAATATATGAAAACTGGAATGTAACAGTTTATATTCAACACAGCATGATCAAAATTCATCTGATTATTCATCAGCCGTAAGAGTGATGAATTTTAATGGTTTAGTACTTGCAATGTGTGATGTCGCATTTAATAAAGTTGAGAATTTCTTATTCTTGGTGATAAGTATCACCTTGTCATACATGAATAAATTATTTTCTTTATCAAAGTTCTACAGAGAAATTTACATACTAAAAATATAAGATCAAGTTCTAACAATATCAATACATGTTTATAACATAATATTGTAAAAAATGCATACTGAATCAATGTGTTTTGCATAGACTAAATCATGTGGCCTGGAAACTCGCTGGTACTCCGACATTAGCTTAAGATGGATGGGTGGTTGTGGCCATTTTCAGACTATATTGATCTCCTTTAGAAGAACTCCATAGAAAGATATACAAAATGAGCAAATCTTTAAATTAAAATGTATGAAATTTTCCTTTGCCAAATGAAAGTTGACATCTTAGTAAGAGATCATATCTAAAAAAAAATAAGTTATATCTGATGGTTAATTTGTTGACCCCCAGCCTCCTTAACTTAATTGTCTGCCCTTGATCTATTTACCCTACTGAATAGTATGTATTGTTAATTGAATCATATTTCATGTTTCTACTGATTCAAATTACATGGAGTGATCCTGAGATGTAAAGTACATCAAAGCAAAATTCCTAAAAACATTTTTGAAAAAATTCTATCTCATTAATAAGCAAAAAGAATATGGCAACTTGAGCCGAATACACAATGGTTGAGAGATCACACATAAATCTTCATTTAGTATGTATATGTTAAACTGCACAGCAACCCCACTCACATATTAATACCATTTCAATGTTAATAATAAAATAAAATCAATATGAACACTACAGATATTTGACCCTACATTCTTAAAATGTGAACACTTTTTGATAATGCACCAATGGAGGTGTTGGTAAACTACTGTGAAATCACAAATTTTTGTGGGGGTTAATTTTTGTTGTTTTCGAGGTATGAAGAGACCGATGAATTCATGTCCAGCACTAAATGTAAAATGATATATACATAAATACTTAACAATTCTTCATCCATGCAATCAAATCCCCATGACCCATGAGATTTTTCTTAAACCACAAAAATTTGACCCCACGAAAATATGTGATTTTACAGTATAACATCTTAAATACCATGAAAATGAACTATTCTCCTTATTTCACAGGAATTCAATACTTCAATACAAAATTTACTATTACAAAATAATTTATCATCAATATAATGTTCAATGGTTATCTGGCCAAGAGACCTGATATTTCTATCTGACACAATCACAGTTCTACATGTAAATAATCATGATGGAAAAAAATTAATCAATCGTGTGATTATCAAAATTTATAAAAATGAATTACAGTGTATATGTATTTTGACAGGAAGTTGATTGCTGCAGATTATTTTTAATAACTTTAAGAAAGAATTAAAACAAGATCAAATTGAACAATAAATCACACATGGTTTAAAAGAAATGTGTCTGAACACAGTAATGATTAACACAGGAATATGAACATGGTTGTGAGATTTGAGCACTGCATTATAATGGCAATGTCAGTAATGGCTAATGCACTTTTATTGGGCATTCCTGGCACATTATTTTAATGGCTGCATGAAATTTGAATGAAAATCAGTTTCCTATAAACATCAATTCATTATAAGCATGTTCCTTAAAAGTGTGTTTTACTGTATACACATATAAATTGTTGAAACTTGATTTGCTTTGAAAATATCAAATTCCCAGAATACACATCTTTTGATGGTTAAAAATGCTCATTTAGTGATCTATACTATCAACTCTTTTTAACACAAATAAATCCAATTAAAGAGTATATATTTTTAACAGGTGGGGACTGAGACTTGAACCCGGTACCTCCCGCCTACCTTGCGGGTGCTCTAACTACTGAGCTATCCAGCTGACGTACCCAATCCCCTTACATATTTATCATTGTTAGAAATAAATAAGAATTACATGGACAGAGGACCAAATTCCCCTTCAAGGTGGTTGAGGTTTTGATTTCATTGATATTGTTGCACATTCTTCTTACTTTAGAATTACATGTATAAGGCTAATCCATACTGTCAGATGAATAAGGCAATATTATCTTTAATGGACTGACTCACAACCAAATAAAATAACCAGATAAACAGAAATTATCTCAAAAGGCAGGTGTTTTCATAAAACTGAAAATATATAGATACATTAGCTGTTAGGAGAAAAATATTATAGTTATGGTCTTATGGATTAAAATTTTCTGGAAAAAAAAAAGAACAAGCCTTGGTTCTGTCACTTTGATGATAGGGCACATGTAATATCTTTTCAGTAACACAAGAGAAAAGTTAAATACCCATCCCAATAATAACACCCATGTGATTCTAAAATGAAATACACGTAAAAATATAAATACATCTGAGTGGTCATTTGACATCAACATCAAGTAAACATTGAGTTAATTGATTGGTAAATTTCTAGAGACATTTGATTGGTAAACAACATTCACATCAAATAACTCTCAGAGCTGATTGGATGAAACTATTATAGAGACATTTGATAGGTTAAATACAATTGTGATTGGTTAAATACATTTGTCTAATTTTCATCAGATGAACTATCAGAGCTGGGGCTGTCTTCCTTTTTAATTCTGTCAAACTTATCCATCCCATGCTTCTCTTTATTGTCTTTAGTATTCTCTTCTCTGGAAAAGATGAAATCAATTTTTTATTTATTTATTTTTGTTGGTTATGTTTTTTTAAGTAAGGAAAGAGGAATGCCCTTACTTCTTATCTTACAATTATTTTTCAAGTGCATCAAAGAAAAGCATATACGAGGGTTGATTCAAAAGTTCGTGGAATTTCTTCATATTTTATTTATTTATAAGTGAATTTGGTTGAAAATTACAATTGAGAATATAGACACTTGCTGAATATTTTAAGTAAAAAGACATTTTGAATATTTCTGATAACAACTCTATGGCAGTTGTCATAGAAACGGATGTTTGGAAACGCGGGGGAGACATTAACGTTTTTAGTATCATTTTAATTCTTAATACGTGAAATTAGAATAAAACCGCCATTTGTGATATATAAAACGAAAATTATTCATTATTACGATTGTTTGATCTTTTATTAACCTTTGTGTGAAAATTGTACTGATTTTACTGGATATTTAGTGTAATAGTCGATGATTTATTGTTCATCTCTATTAAAGTTGTTAGACAACGTCAAATTTTGGTCAAGCCATACATTTTGTGAAATCCCAGGATCACTCTATCTTAAACGCCTATATTATTGACATAGGCTGGGGAAAAATGCATTTAGTTACTGGTTGTCCAGTAGCATAAGAAATTTAAGAAAAAAAGAACTTCCATGAACGTTTATTAAAGGTGTGGCGGCCTTTTTGAGACTCTGTTTTAAGTGTTTATCCCCTAGACAAATTAAAAGCGTTAATGGACATTGTCGGCTGACGTACTGTTCTCGACACTGATACTGAAATTTGAACATCATACGGAAAGATGGGGAGTATTTTGAAATGTGAGTGAAAAATGAAGATAAGTTGGTGTGGGAGGATACCCTGGCTTTTCTTGAGAAAAAAGAGGCAGCAATTTGTATTACTCGAATCGGACATTAGACTGAGATGCTTTTATATCGTGACGTGACATATCTAATTTGACGTTACATCGAAGTCTCCCCTGGGTTTCACAACTATCCATTTTCAGAAAGCTCATGTGATCTTATTGGTAATTGGAATGTGATGAAATTTTCCAATATTGTTGCATTATGACTCTATACTATAAATATGCATGTATTTTGTTTTCATCAAATCACAATAAAATTTTAGAGAGAAATTCCACAAATTTTTGGATCAACCCTCGTACAATTGGTAACTAAACAAATCTTAATGAAACTGCTCCCTGTTTCATGATTCTGTCTCATTTCCTCTGACATTCTTCTGTCAGAAATCAGGGTTTATGAAATTTGTTCCAGATCTTTCAACTTTAATTTTAAATCAAAATAACTTGGCAGAAAAGAAACTTCCTACTTAAAGCAGAATACTGTAAACATATTACATTTGGCTGTGTATTCTTTTTATCGCTTTTGGCAGAAACAAACTTCTGCTAATTCAAGTACAACGCTAAAGTCTTGTACTTGTATACATAAATTTAATAAAAACATTAAGAAAAACGCTAAATCAAATCAATGCTAACCTGTTCAAAATTCAATTTCCGCCAAGTACACGCTAAATATAATACTTTTACAGTTACCATAGGATTTTACTGAGAAAAATTACCGGTATGTCAATTTTGGCTGTATAAAGGTATAATGAAACAGCTAAAATTAATTTGCCATCATTTTTTGTGTTTTAATATGTTCCCTAATCAGTACAATAAGGGTTACCTCAATTTTTTTTTTTCTTTTAAAAGCATTAAAAAGTTAAAAGCAAAACTATTTTAGGTTAGTTTTTTATGCCCCCGTAAACGAAGTTTCGGGGGTATATTATAGTTTTTGTCATGTCCGTCTGTCTGTCTGTCCGTCTGTCTCTCTGTTTGTCTGTTTGTCCGAAAAAACTTTAACCTTGTCCATAACTTTTGATTTAGTGGAGCTGTGACTTTCATATTTCACATGTGTATTCCTTGTGACAAGACCTTTCTTTGGGTACCACCAAATTTGACCTTTTGACCTTGACCTTGGAACTTGACCCACTTTTACACAAAAAATTCAAATTTTTACTTTGGCCATAACTTTTGAACAGTAAATACCAGGACATTTATACTTCACATATACCCGGTATATATTCTTTGTGGCAAGACCTTTTACTGGATACCAACAACCTTGACCTTTTGACCTTGACCTTGGAGATTTACATACTAATAAAAGAACTTTAACCTTGGCAATAACTTTTGAACGGTAAGGTCTAGAGCTTTCATACTTTATATATGTAATCCTTGTAAAAAGACGCTTCATTGGATACCAAGAGCTTTGACCCTTTGACCTTGACCGTGGAGTTTGACCTACTTTTAGAAAATAAACCTTGACCATAACTTTTATAGGGTAAGAGCAAGTGCTTTTATACTTTACATATTTAATCCTTGTGACAAGACCTTTCATTTGATATCAAGACCTCTGACCCTTTGGCCTTGACCTTAGAGTTTGACCTACTTTTAAAAAATCTTAACCTTGGCCATAACTTTTGAACGGTTTGGGCTATAGCTTCCATACTTCATATATGTATTCTTTGTAGCAAGAGCATTTATTGGATACCAATAATCTTGACCTTTTGACCTTGACCTTGGAGATTTCCGGACTTGTGAAAAAACATTAACCTTGGCAATTACTTTTAAAGAGTAAGAGCTAGGGCTTCCATACTTCAAACATGTGATATTTGTGGAAAGACCTTTCATTCAATACCAATAACCTTGACCATCTGACCTTGATCTTGAAGATTTCTGTACTTATGAAAAAATTTCAGCCTGGCCATAACTTGGGAACAGACGGTGATAGGGTTTTGATATTTTACAATTGTATTTCCAGTTAGGAGACCCTACTTTGGGTTCCATTATATTAAATTTGCATCTAAGAAAAGTTTAATCTTCTCTATGTTGCCATACAGGGGTATCAGTGTTTCACAAACACATCTTGTTTCTTCTTTTTTTTTGTTCATTCCTGAATATTGTGATCTGTTTTTTCAGTACTCGTGTACTAATCTTAAGATGTATTCTTAATGTAATTATAACAGTTATTTTCATTTTCAATTACTATACATTTTATTATGTAATAAACAAGAGGCCCATGGGCCACAATGCTCACCTGAGTTATTTTAGTTTTGCTGTTTTGCCTCAAATTCATGTATATTATATTCTTATGTAAACTTTGATAGTCTTTTGTGGTCAAACACCAAACATAACATGGTATGCTGTGATTTGAACAAAATTGAATGCTTCCACTTTAATATGGCTTTGTGGAGTTTTAAAGATTTTCTGTACATAATCCCTCTTGGGACCTCACTGTATCAAAGGGGACCAAGATCTGAATAATTTACAATCTACACTTCAGCAGTAAGCTTTCACCCTGTCTGGTCCAATGCTTCTTGAGAAAAAGATTTTTAAATATTTCCATATTCATCTTTGACTTCCTATTATGGTCCCACCACACCCCTCGGGGGCCGTGAAATAAAAAGGTTTGACCCTTCGTTTACCACATTTAGAATCCCCTTTATCCAGGGATGCTTTTTGCTAACTTTGGTTAAAATTGGCCCAGAGATTCTTTAGAAGAAGTTTAAAAATGTGAAAAGTTTACAGACAGGTGATCAGTTAAGCTCTCAACTCAGGTGAACTAAAAACTTGCAATCTTCTGGGGCTAAAATAATCATTTATCCAGCTTTACCTCAACTTTTGCTCATTTACACAAAAGGATATGAGAGCCTTGTCATATCATTCAAAGTGTTGACTGACTTGCATACAATTTATCATCAATATCATCTACATTTTGAAAGAAGAACTCCAACCAAAAATGATGCAGGTTGCAAAAGGGTATTTTCAATGTATAATGATAGAGGCCCAGGAGCCACATCGCTCACCCGAGTACTGTGGCTAGGAAAAAAGCAAAAATCAACTTAGTATTAAAAAGCTTAAATGCATGAGTGGTCCCTTTGAGCCCCCATTGTGGCCCCATCCTATCCCCGGGGGTCATGATTAAACAAACTTGAATCTACACTACCAGAGGATGCTTCCACGTGAGTTTTATTTTCCATGGCCAAGTGGATTTTTAAAAGATGCCATTAATTTTTCACTAATTCATAATTATCTCCCCTTAGAAGAGGGCATGGTCCTTCATTTGAACAAATTTGAATTCCCTTCACCCAAGGATACTTTGTGGCAAGTTTGGTTGAAATTTGCCAAGTGGTTCTTGAGAAGAAGATGAAAATGTGAAAAGTTTACAAAGACGCCAACAACAACAACGCCGACAGACAACGGACAAATTTTGATCAGAAAAGCTCACATGAGCCAGCCTTCAGCTCAGGTGAACTAAAAATGTCATACTAGGTCTAGAGATGCTACCCAAAATACAATATTGTAGCTGATTGAATTAGATCAAAGACCACCCAAACTAACTTGAAATCTGGAAGACACAAACATCTTACAATATATATTTTGAAACACTAAAAAATATTTAAAAAAGTTTGGTGACAAGCCAATAAGGAAAAAAGCTAAACATCCATGCTACATATGGATTTTCTGACAATTTATAAAAAAAAGAATTGTCAAGTTTCTAATTGATACAGGTATATTTTTAGTACAGAGAGGTTTCAAAATTAGCAAAAATATGAATATGTACAATTTATCAGAGGCTCAAACTTGGTCTTCTGTATCCATATCCTTACATCCATATATTTCCAAAAGGAATCAAATATGTCCAGGTAAATTGACCATTGGCAGAAAATGTAATACCGGTATTAAGTATTGGGTAACATATTTACATGGATTCTTTTTTGGTTGCCCTGAATAAACTACACAAAATATTGTCTCTTAACCATATGTATTGAACAAATTTAATTACCAGTATAGGAGAGGCAAGTATATTTATAATGCAAGTATTAAAAATGTACAGTTCATGGTGTTTACCAAGGAATACATATGTGTATGTATGTTGTATAACGATCCCCAAACTGATGCTAGTTATGCCCTGTTCACACGGAGAG